GTGAGTCCAGGGTTCTTGGCACACTGGGCTCACCATAAGTGAGATGAATGATTCTGCGAGTCATTCAACCCCTAAGATACTGTATCATAGAACGGTAAGGCTGTGTAGTAGAATGCAGGAGGTGGAGGTGAGTATTGCAGCCAGAGCTATGTGGGATGAATGATGCTGGGAGTCTTTCAACCCATAAGATACTGTATTGCAGATTGGTGAAGCTGTGTAATACAGTGCAGGTGGTGGAGGTAAGTATGGCAGCCAGTACTGTTTTTTTTTTATTTTTTATTTTATTTGGCATGGGAAATCTTAATATCAACTGGAGTTCGGCAAAATTGGGCAAAATTACACAGCCTCAATCAGACTCTTAATGATCAAAATTTACACCATTGGATACGCATTTCCCTTGCTGTGCATTGTGGTTCCATCCTTCAACCCCTAGGACACTGCAGGACACAACAGTAATGCAGGGATCGGAGGATGGAGCCACTGAATGCAGCAGAGGACATAGACATCTAACACTCCCGGAAGACTTACTACACTATATAGTTTTTCTATTTATATTTTTTTGAGATTGGATATTTGGTAGAGTGAATTGTCAGCGGGAATTCAAAGAAAGGAGACAGTTATACAACAAATGCACTTTACAGAACACAAAGGTTTTAAAGTTTTCAAGATTTCCTTGACAATTTTTAAGCGCTGGTTCCAATACATATATCTTACTCTGATGGGGTGGTGGAGGTTTTTTAGCTACTGAGGGACTTTGGTTATGAACACTCTGGTGCACTGATATCTGATATTTATATACTCCTGGAAGAGAAATATGCTGAAAAATATTTTTGAGACTGCAGTTCTGGAACAAATGGTCTGAGCAGTAAGTATAATAGCTCTTCTGTTACAGTGAACATCTGATTGGATCCTAACAAGTTCACAAATATAAAAATCAAATATGCTGCATGCATAGTTAAGTGTTTTGTTTCATTCCTTCCTGAAGATTTGGCTCCATCCTAATCAGATGATACATGTGCAATTCAGATTTTAAAACAGTACTACAGATTGTCAGTTGACCAGAGCTTTATGTGGACCACTACCTGTTAGTTCTTGGTGTTGATGGCACGAGTTTTGCAGGACATACATGGCTCAAATCCCGAAAGAATTTTATTTTGAAAATCGTAGCTAAGAATTTTCATTTAAATTTCGCACCATTAGTAGGCCGCAACATTGTCCGATTTTCATGTGGCTATCAAATTTGACCAATTGGGCATGTTGTACATTTTTTTACAAACAAATTTCTAATCATTGATGGAAGAATCGTGTGAGTAATATACCTCGAAAAAGAAATGAGCTGTGACCTGGAAAGAAAAGAAGATTCCCAGACATTAAAAATTATTTTCTGTAGCAACATGAGGTGAAAATTAAGGCTTGGTTGGTCAAATTTCAAAATCAATGGTGGCACCATCGGATTACAAAACGCACAAAATTTTCAATCTTCTAAAGAAAATTAAACATTCAACCCATGTATGGCCTGCCTTTGAGACACTTGTGAAATCATTTAGAACTCATTACCAAGTGCATTTGTAAAGACTCACACTAAGGAAGTGGTTAAAAAGTCCATCAGAAAGATTATCTGTAGAGCTGTCATCCGTGTCATGCAGGGATCCGTCCGAAAGGGTTTATGGCCACCGTGGATGGATCCTTGCGGGACACGTATGACGGCTCTACCTTACTGATGGGCTTTTTAACCACTTTCTTAGTGTGAGTTTTTACATTTGTCGTTCATTAAAACTATTTTAATACTGCACTTCTTTTTTTTTCACATCATACATTTAGAGTTGGCTCACTCTGGGATGGCTGCCACCTAACTGGTTACATAGTTACAGACTTTTTTTGGGACTTTTTGTATTTTTTTCTAATATTCACTGGATATAAGCCATTAGTGTGCTGAGAGTTCTTTATATTGTTGTCCAAGTGCATTTGACATGTCATTTACCTCCTTTTGACCTGCTTCAAACAGGTTTTGCATTCCCATTGATTTGTATTTGACAACAATGAACCTTTGTCCAGCTCCATTTTGTATTTTTTTCAAATATTTATCTGAATTTTGTATCACCAAATTTTCTCTCTAGTTTAACATGATACCCCATCTATGCTGAAAAAGAGCAGCTCCACAGCCCATGCTACAGCCATTATAATTTACAGTAGGTGAGTTGCAGGTAGTACTGGATTTAGGCTACATTTATTGCTATTACATTTGACTAAAAACGGTTTTGTCTCATTTAAGAAACCCTTCCCCACATCAGAGCTGGGTACTTGCTGGGTAACATGCATTTTTTTTTCCGCAAAATGTGGTTATTTAGTTTTTTTAATTAGTTTTTACACTGGTCTTTTTGAATGGTCATATTTTGAAAATGGAGTTACAGAATCAGCACCCAGCTGAGTTGCAGTACCATACAATATACTATAGAGAAAGTTTTAGTGTTCGATTTGCTTTTCAATAAAATCAAAGAAATGTTCAGCAACATATTTTTAAATATGCAGAGCTTTAAACACAAACACACAAACACATATATATATATATATATATATATATATATATGCGGCCATTTGCATACATTAAAATATGCTTGTATTGTTCGTTTGTCACCTTAGAACTCTGATCTGTAAATATATTTTATTCTGTGCTGCTAATGGCTGTATAAAAGAATAAATAGACAAGTCATTTTCCCTTCATGGTTCCAATTATGAACACTTACAGACTGAGTCACTGAACAAGGTCCCTATGAATATGTGCATACTGCAGTATCCATGATTTTACTTTACTGCAGTCAGATCAATAAAAAGTATTCTGTTACTGTTTTGGCTTACTGAACTTTCTAGAATATGCTCTGTCTTGCTGCGTGAAGAATGTACAAAGCAATGCACAGGTTACATGAGCATAAGTGGAAGCCACTATCACTAATAAACATGACAAAGCAAAATGCATGGGTGCCAAAAACATAGCATACTGGAAAAACCTAACCGTGACAAATTTATTGTATAATAAATACTCATTGAGGACGTGTGAGATCTTGGAGTTCTTCATAAACTAGCAAGCAGTTAAGATGGATTAACCCTTCATATAAACCAAAAGGTATGAGATTTAGAGTTTCATTCATGGTTGGTCCATTATTCTGATGTCCAAACAGGTGTTCTCTTACATTAGTACAGTATTGTGCAAAAGACTTAGACAGATGTTAAAAAAATTCTGTAAATGAAGAATGTTGTCGGAAATAGAAGTGTTCATAGTTTATTTTGATCAATTAACACAATGGAAAGTAAATGAACAGAATAGAAATCTGAAATCAACATTTGGTCTTTGCCTTGAAAAGAGCATCTATTCTTCAATTCTTCGTGTACACTTGCACACAGTTTTTAAAGGAACTCGGCTGGGTAGGTTGTTCCAGACATCTTGGAGAATCGCAGATCTTCCATTAGCGTAGGCTGTCTCAAATCCTTCTGTCTCTTCATGTAATCCTAGACGGGCTTGATGATGTTGAGATCAGGGCTCTGTGGGGGTCAAACCATTGCTTCCAGGACTTTTTGATTTCCTGTACGCGGACGATAGTTCTTGAAGACATTGGCTGTATGTTTGGGGTCATTGTCCTACTGCAGGATAAATTTTGGGACCAGTCACATGCCTCCCAACATTGAGGACACCATTCATCCTCACCAAATCTCCAACTCCATTTGCAGAAATGCAGCCCTAAACTTGCAAGAAACCTCCACCATACTTCACTGTTGCCTGCAGACATTCTCCAGCCCTTTGCGAACAAATGGTCTTTTGGTACAGCCAAATATTTCAAATTTTCATTCATCAGTCCCAGAGCACCTGCTGCCATTTTTCAATTCCTATGTTTACATGCATAGGACATAGAAACAACGATTCAGATGAGAAAGAGATGTACTTCGAGTTAAAAGATATGATCCAAACTAAAAAAACAGTGCGATACTGGGTTTTGGTGGTCTATTATGGCCTTTATCACATCAGTAGCAAAACACTGAAAAAGGTATTCCCATTTTGGTGGCAAAAAGAAGGTTTAATCTTCCAGCATTTTCTTTCAGCTCTCAGATATTCTATAGCAAGAGATCAGTACTTTTGTCTTTTAATCACAACTTGTTTCTGGTTAGCCACAAGCTAGGCTGAGGTGGGAAGTGTGGACTCATATTTTAAAGCACAGTACTGTGCTTTACAAATGTATCCTAAATCATCGATAATAATGAAAGTTCACTGACAGCTCCACACCGTGTCCTCCATATCGTCAATCAGTGTCAACAAAGAGTGAAAAGCAATATCTGCTCTCCATTATATTGTACATAGGCCCAAAATATGCACATTAGTAAACATAAGCCATTTTCCATTTCATAGACAAAACTTTTTTTAATCTTAATAAAAATTCTATACATCCTAATACAAATCAATGAGACTTATCTCCAAAATATAAAATATTTAGCAATAAAAACAATAAAAAACACACAAAAAAATATATTACAAAATATAAAAGTCCAGTCATATTTTGGATGGTTAAAATAATCTACAGTAAGAAAACTGCAAATACTCTCTGGAAAACATTGCACCTGGGCTACAAAATCCAAATTCACCGTACCTATAGAATGAAGATAGATTGCTGAGGATATCTGACGGTGAACTGGGCCTGCCTTCAAATCATGACTGACAGAATGAGGGGCTAGGTCAACGGCATAAGTGGCCAAGGTCTACATGTAGGGCAGAAAAGATTGTAGAGATATGGTAGAGACTGCTGGGAGTAAAAAGGTGATGCATTCCGTTCTCCAGGGGACAAGATGAGAATGACCTGCCCCCACTTCTAAAGCTAGCAAGAAATGAGGTTCACTTTTTCTAGATCAAGGAAACCTGATGAAAAGCGGAACCCCTGGACATGTAGGGTATGTCCCATGTGTTCTTCCATGGCTCAGTTTTAGCAATGACTGAAGTGTCCAGGTTAAGCGTAAGCTTAAAAGTTCTGTTGCCTGCGTTTCTTGGAATCAATGGCTTCTAGTATGGGCTGCCGCTTGGCTTGGTATCTTTGATGGATTTCTTCAATTTCCCGATTCATCATTGGATCCAGTTCATTTAGTTTCTTCTGGAGTTCATCCACACTCCAGTCTTTTAACTAGAAAGATGAAGATATAAGAATGAACAATGATGTATGGACAGTATGGAGTAGAGAATGAAATACATTTAAAGAGCTATAATAAAATGGTAAATCAATGCTAGGCTCCAGACTCTGCTTCTTGAAACATGCTACTTCCTATATAGAAATTATAGACAGAGTAAAACTGGTGCGGGTGAACATTTAGTTCAGGTGGGAAGAATGGCAATGCATTTTCTCCAATCAATTGGACCTTCGTTCATCTTGAAATAATGCAAAACATTATTTTCTACTAAACGTTATGAAGATTTTAAAATAAATACAGCTAGGATATTTTCTCCCATTTTCTCAGCAACTTTACAACTTCTAATGACTGACAAAACAAGTATGGTGGTCTATATGTTATATATTTGAAGCTGGCTTGGTGATTCAACAGAACAGCATTCAACTAAATTGAATTATTTTGGGAGAGACTTACTCTATTTTGCACACAAAAACCTAACAAGAGCACATTGTTTTAGGCCTAAATAAAATATAAACCTATTGCATTTCATGAATTACACCAGACTGGACCCTGGTTCCTCAGAGCTGAACTTTAAAGTGGAGCTCCAAACTCCCCCCAAACAATTAAAAGTCAGACAAATTTAATATATGGACACTTACCTGTCCAGGGATCCAGAGATATCCACACCCTTAGCCGATTCTTCAATTGGCTTCGGTATCATCCTTCGGGTGCAGGTGCCTTTTGGCTTCACAGGCTATTTCATACTGTACTCTGTGCTTTGTGAATGGTTCTGCAGTCTTCTGGGACCTGTGAAGTGTCCCAGAAGGCTGCGGAAGAAGGAGGGGGGGAGATCTTGCGGCTCAGATCACCGCGGCACATCTGACTGGAAGTGAAAGTGGGTCAAAACCATGTACCCCCCCAAATTGCCAAATGTGGCAGTAGAGGGGGGGGGGGGGTAATACAAAACAATCAGAATTTTCCCTTTATATAGGTGTCCATAAACACCTACAATATATATAAAGAGGGAAAGGGGGGAGGAGTCACCTCTAGGGGATTAGACACCTAAGTATCAGGAGTCAGCGGCAGAGATGGCCAGATATATCTTTGGCTACACCAAGAACTAGACCACAGTCAGACAGACAGACAGACAGACAGACAGACAGATAGATAGATAGATAGATAGATAGATAGATAGATAGATATTTCAGCTCAGGGAATCACAGTGCCACCAGCAGCTGGACCAGGTCCTGACACTGAACTCAGAAGTAGCAAGCAATGGAGGATAACCTTCCTAACAATCAACTGTGCGAACAGGTCAGCAATACAAAAAGACCACATTAAGAGGTAAGACAACTGTGTTCCCAAATGAAATACTGGATAAATTATTTTTTACAGTAATTGCAAAAAAAATCTCTGTTAACTGGGGGACAAAGGAAGGGCCCAATGGGACATCCAAACGCAGTCCCAAGAAAGAGGTGTGGGAAAACAAACCAAGTGCCACGGCAAAACTAAAGGAGAATAGCGTGACTAGAACCCATAGCTGCCTGCAGGACCGTATGTGCAAAGCTAACGTCTGCTGATGCAGCCACATCTGCATAACAGACCTTAGTGAATGTGTGCACAGAAGACTAGGCAGCTGTCTTGGATACCTGAGAGACTGATGTCTGATGGCAAAAAACCTAGGAATCACTCACCTCTCTAGCAGAATGAGCAGTGACAGGCAACAGAGGGTTCTGTCCCCTCAGGGAATTAGCCTGTGAATAGTCAGGTGAATCCATGGAGAGACAGTCACAAGTGGGTCAACTGTCATGATCATCTATAATAAACAAACAGTGAGCTCATCTTCTAAAAGATAGACCCCAATAGCCTTACCCTTTTTTAGAGTGTGTAGGGAAATAAGACAGCGGATGGACCAAAGGAAGGCAGCACAATATCCTTATTGAGATGGAAAGGAGAAGCAAACTTAGACCTGGGTCTCAAAAAAATCTTATCCCTATGACGAACATGAATAGATGACTTGCAATAAAAAGCTGCCAGCTCAGAGATCCTTCTGGTTGAAGTGATGGCAACAAGAATAGCTACTTTTGAGACAAGGTCATCTCCAACAGAGAGCAACCACCCCCTAGATGAAGGTACAAACTAAGGGATAAGATCACTTAGGTAGGAAATGGTGCTTAGGGCCAGGTGCTGATCCAAACCCACTGATCCAAACCTAAAACCAAAAGCGACTGAAAAATTCCTAGAATTAAATCTAAGAGACTTACAGCATCTAAAGAAGGCCTTCCACCTGAGATGGCTCACCTTGTGAGAAGAAGATTCTGCAAACCTTTAGGAGTGAGTACTGCTAGAAGGCAAATTTCTTTGTTCAGTACATTGGACAGAATGTCCCTATGTAAAATGGATGATTTTTACATGAACATGTAAAATTGCATATGCTAAAGGTGTATTTTTATGCACTTTGCAAACAAGCCTGACACATTACAATATTTCTTATAATATCGATTATTTGTGAAAATGTGTTCAAAATTGCCAGCTCTAGGATTTTTGCAGAGGTGAAGGTGTAGATGTGACCATTTCCTAATTCAGCTGTAATGCAGGTGGAGAATTTGGTCTCTTTCAACATTTCTATGATTATTTCAGTAGCTAAGGTCTAGTTGGTGCTTTTTCCGAGTTAGACTTTATAGATTAGGTTGTATGTACAGCTGGGTAACATGGCATCTCTGGCAACATGCAAACTATTGCATTTTGGCTCTTGTGATATAGCAGTGGGGAGTTTTTTTCCTGAAGTGGCACACATGCAACACTGGAAAGGGTCAAAGCATGCTACATACAACCTGCACACTTTGGTCAAGTCATTTTGAGTATACAGAGCACACCTAAGGTACAAGACTGGTCAAATTTTGCCCACTGAATCACTTGAAAGTCCACACTATTCACTTATACTCCCCTTCCCGGTGCTGCTATAATGTTCTGTTGGAGACTTTGAGGAAATACTCAGTGCTTCCAGGTATGGATTAACATATGTCCTCCTTCTAGAATGTAGTACTTGGGTCTCAACTCCTATCACCACACCTGCACACTGTCACACGAGAGAGGGGTTGACATTGTTGACCCTGTGAAAGCTTGGTCACCATCCAACATGGAGATTACATAGGGATGGGAATCTGAAGAAGGAATGGTGCAGAAGTGTAGCATGGCAAATAGGAGTATTAGTGGGTCTAATACAAGGTATTAGCGGGCAAAGTGACAGGGCCTCCCTAACAAAGAAAATGGATGAAATATACTGCTTGGAGCCAGATCTGATGGGAATGACGGGAATACAGATATTACTGGTGTGACTTTCTGATGACCTCGGTGCAAATTCACATATGCATTATGTTTAAAATAAACATGGATTGATTTAAAGGAGAGAAAAACCATCACAACAGAAACCCATACTGAGCTGAAGTAAAGACTTTAGACTATTGATCTCTGACTTTAGACCTGCTGTATCTAATTACAGCATTTTCTCCTCCATTGAAGATAACTGCTTTTTAGCATGAAATGTCTTTGATATCAACCAGGGAAAGTTCTGTTTATATTCTCATATATCTTGGTAACTGGGCTACCAGAAATAAATTTTAAGCAGAAAATAGCAAGGTCACCATTCTATAGCTGCATATTAAGAAGCGTAGCATAATTCAGATGTTGCTCTACCTTTTTGGAAATTGTAATAATAAAAAATAAAAAAAATTAAAGTGATTCTAAAGGCTTAAAAGTTTAAAAAACAAAACAAAAATGTCTATACTTACCTGCTGTGTGTAGTGGTTTTGCACACAGCAGCCCAGATCCTCCTCTTCTTGGATCCACCACCGGCGCTCCTGGCCCCCTCCTGTTGGGTGCCTCCACAGCAAGCAAAATGCTATGGGGGCACCTGCTGCTCCATGTGTCCATTCACACACAGAGCCGAGGCTTGGCCCCCGCCTCATCTCTCCTCATTGGCTCATAGGCTGTGATTGACAGCAGTGGGAGCCAATGGCTCCCGTTTCTATCTCAGCCAAGGAGAAGAGGGAGGCTTGGGATAGTCGAGACTCCAGTGCACATTGCTGGATCAAGAGGGGGCTTAGGTGAGTATTATTATTATTATACAGGATTTATATAGTGCCAACGGTTTGCTCAGTGCTTTACATTATAGTGGGAGACAATACAGTTCAACACAAGAGGGATTTGAGGGCCCTGCCCCTTGGAGCTTACAATCTAGGAGGGAGGGGTTAATGGTACAATAGGTAATAACTGTGGGGGATGGAGTGGTTGGAAGAGTAGAGGATTTCAGTATTAGCAGAGGGCGGGACAGGCTTCCCTGAAGAGATAGGTTTTCAGTGATCGCCTAAAAGTAAGTAGAGTAGGCGATAGTCTGATAGATTGGAGTAGGAAGTTCCAGAGGATGGGGGACGCCCTGGAGACAAGCATGGGAGGAGGAGATAAGGAAGCTAGAGAGTAGGAGGTCTTGCGAGGAGCGGAGAGTACAGTTTGGGTGATATTTGGAGACAAGATCGGTGATGTAATTTGGGGCAGAGTTATAAATGGCTTTATATGTCATTATTAGTGTTTTGAATTTTATCCGTTGGGCAACTGGGAGCCAGTGGAGGGATTGGCAGAGAGGGGTGGCAGATACAGAACGGTTAGTAAGGTGGAAGAGTATTGAGGGGGGCTAAGAGTGATGATGCACACAGAAGGTTTTTTACCTTCATGCATAGAATGCATGAAGGTAAAAAACCTTGAGCCTTTAGAACCACTTTAATAATAAATATTATATTCTTCAACATGCTGGTACAACCACCTATAGGAGGTTTGGACACTATGTAAAATGAAAAACAGACACAGTCGTATCTAGTGGTTATACCCCTGCACTTTCACATAAGCAAGCAGTGAACAACATAAGATGGTAAAACAACCTTCCATAAAATATGTGTGGCAACAGGCCAACAACGCACAGGAGCACCCATCAGATGGATGAAGCAGTATCCTCAAATGGACC